TGTTCATAGTGACTGTATCTCTTTAAAGGTCTTTTGAAATCCTTTTGCCTTCTCTATGACTGTTTATCTTCAATTGTGCACAGTTGTTTGAACCTTCTTGTATGATCTGATGGAGACATTTAATTGAATGTGCAATGTTTCTAAAGTCCAGTTCACTTCCTCTTCTGGATAATGAATTGTAACGTGTTTTATATCAATCAGAAGTTCAGCTCAGCTTCCCAATGCATTACTTTCTTCTGGGGATCATCATTTGCTTAAGTCTGGTTTTCACTTAATTCTACCAATGAAGTTACAAACCCTCTAGCATACCATGTTGCTGCGGCAGAGGCTTATACAACATTTGACACATTCTGCATTAATAAAACTAGGAGTAGTAACCTTCAGGGCCGTGTGTTCCTTCTTTTTTTTTTTCCAGATTACAGATTAATGACCCAGTCTTTTTCCAGAGGAGAGAGTTCCAAGGATTTTTCTCTCAATGTTGACTATGTATTAATCAGGACCAGATCTGAGAGAGTGGAACTGACCAAGTTCGTCTTCTCCACTCCAGTGCTTCCAGACTGGTTTCTCTGTCCTCAGGAAACCAGGATCTAACAAAGGCTCACTCATCTGTGGGTGTCTTCCCAATTCAGCCCTCTCCGAGTTTTATCTCACTGTGGCTGGAAGGGGCTGAGGCCAACTCATGGGCCCCTGCTGGTTCCACAGCCATATGAGGTCGGTCTGACTCTTCTCTGGTGCACAGGTGGGTGAGACTTCTCCAAATGTTTTGGCTTTTGGTGCTGGTTGCCACAGCTCCCACAGAAGCACTTCTGTTGGCAGACGGATGCTGAATTTTAGTTGTTAGAAGGGCATCTTATGCTTTCATGATGCTGATATCCTAAGGTCATATATTTGAAAGTGCTTTGAAAATGCAAATATTAGGCATTATTACTGTCTCATAATTATTGCCAGTGATTCACACCCGGCTCGACCATGTGTGTTTACAACATTTCTGGCCTTGCCATTTTCCCTCTCTCTCCTTTTCAATTATTTTAGCAATCTAAGTTGTCATAAATTAGTGACTTTAGTAACTACGATTACCCTTTAGTGATAATCATCAGAGTTTAGTTTAGGTCATCCAACATAAATGGAAGCAAATACTCTCCTTAAATCCTTGTATAAGTACACGGGGAAAAGAAAAGGAAAAAAATGAAGACTAGAGTATAATAATAAATACCATGGTAATAAAGGCAATACTGCAAATCCCAAGAGATGGATGAGCAAAAATAGGGAGTAGCGACCACAGTTCACTTTTTTGTGTCTGGCAGTCTATGTAGCCTGTGATTGGTGACGATTTATTACAAAGTTGGTCACTTTAATGAGTATTTGATACACGAATAAAGGTCTAGACTCTTCCTTCAGATGACTCATTCTTTAGATGATCTGTATGAAACAGCACATTTCATATCAAAACTTAATAGGTTAGGGTCTTTATGGATTCTTTTTTAATTGAAATTGGGGGGACATATCTATTTTAGGTAAGATAACACCATTGCTAGCCATTGGATGACTTACTCTGATTGTGAATTTATAAGAGTTTGAATTACATTATCTGCTTCTGTTCTGTACAGTTGCATTCAGATAATAACACATTTTTTCCGGATCATAAAAAAACCAAAAATCTGGAAATGTGAAATAAGTTGAAAAATATAGAAAAACACCAACATATACTAATATCAAACCAGTCCATCTCCCACTGAGTAATGCACTGTTAGTGGTTTCTAGCAAATACAATTACAGGAAGGAAAGAATTTTAAATGACTTGCTCTCTTGATTTCTCTTTCTGAAGACCCAGACCCTGTTTCTACAGATAAGCATAAGGGTCTGGATAAGCTTTGGCAACTTGGGCTCTAAATGGAGCTGATGCAGTTTAACCTACATCTGTGTTCTCCCCAGGGTCAAAGATGAAGGAATGATAAAGCTCACAACCAAGTTATTGTATTCATCACATGGATTTCCATGTAGAAATAAACAATACAAGACTAATTAGTGTTAAGATGGCTTATAATTAATTTACTCAACTTGTAAAATACTAACTTAAAAACTTTAGACTTTGTTATTAAAAAGACATTACACATTTTCAGTGAAATATTCTAAAACTATTGAACCATCGATATGGGTAGACTATAAATCTGCCTTCTAGAAACTGGTATACACAAATTTCTTAGTCCTTATATGATTTCATCTACAGAATTAATATGCACAGAGTATACTTTAATTCTAGACTTAAAGATATTCAATCAGAGATTGATTTTATTTAAAGCATTTTAATCAACTGTATAGAACTTTTAAGTGTCCAGTGAAAAAGATGGCAGAAGCAGGAATACCAAAGGGCAATTTTCCTTGGTGTATTAAACTGAGATAAGTGGATGCCCCTAGAATCAATCAGGACCTGGCTTTTCTCTGTCTCACTCACTACAGTAATACTAGGGGTGATGATGTTATCCCCAAAGTTATACTATTATAGGTTAACCTAATAGCCAAAGCTGTGGCCTCACATACAAAATTTTACAATTATGTGTCAGGAGAAAGTTAACACTTAAATATGACAGGTTCCTCCTTTACCCTCTATATGGCGTGTTGGCATGTTACCTTGCCAAATATAGTCATCAAGCCAATAATAGGAATAGTGAAATCCATGTTGGCTCCTAAAACACAATCTTATTTTGGTTTTTCAATAATACATTAGAAGAAGAGGAAAAGAAACACTTACCTCTCCAACAACTGACATGGAGTTTAAGTTAATACACGGGAAGGTTCTGAAAACCTTGTTCCATCTCAACCTTCCAAACACTGTTATCCCAGCAGATATGGTTGCTCTAAGCTGGAGCATAAAACAGAATGTGAAAATATAAAGCATTATGTCTTATGAGATATTTCCCCCAATATATTTTTCAGCTCTAATTGAATCTGTAGACAGAAGTTTCTTATCAGTGATATTTAGTGACCTACAGTGTTGTCATGCAGTTTTCATTTATATTTACAGCATTTCCTTGCCTTGGATACAAATATCTTTAAATATTTGTGTGAATGCTTTTCTTTTGGATACTTTGAAGCAATTTTTATCAAGCTAGTAGGTATTCTCAGTGTCAGGCTCTGGACCCAGACATTTTCAGCTTGACTCTGTATGGTAGAGTATATCTAGTCTTACTCAGATTCCATTCTTTTTTCTTTTCTCCGAACCCTCACCCCATCCCACACTCACTTTCTTTTCATTTTGCATTTTTGTTTGGGCTTAGGGACATTAAACATAGAAAAGCAGAGATGAGCTTTAAAAATTAGAAGAAAGGGAAGAAATAAAATGGCAAAATATTGGAGGAAAATGATCCCCTTTTATTGACTTATGTTTATATACTTGTTTTGTAGTAATTTACCTTGTTTACTTACTGTTTGTTCCCTGTACCTAAAATAGAGAAAACTATCCAAAGTTGAGTATTTGAAATGAATACTACATATCTTGATCTCCATGCAGTATTTACAAGAATAAACATGCTCCCCTAAAATGATACAGATATGTAGTTGGTGAAAGACTGAAAAATGCAGAGTGATAATGAGGTCGTTAATGTAAACTGGGGTCTGATTATCTATCTTACCAATTCAAAGTCCATGAAATTACTCCCCCCCCCAAAAAAAAAGAATATGGGAGCTCAATTGTGTACTATCAAATTTATTTCCCTTTAAGGGCACATATAACGTTCTGTCCAACCAGTTGCAGAAAACAACATATGCAGAAAAGAGTTAATGAGCAGGTCAGAGCCTGACATCTTTAGAAAGGACTGCTTGCAAGGTCTGCCCTTGGTTAGAGTCTGGGAACGTAAATCAGAAACAGTTCCCTATAGTGACATAAAGTGTCCATAAGTGACTGAAGTGGCTCATTATACCTAATCTGTTTGTACAGACATTGTTCATGCTGCACATGTACTTTCCATCTTGGAGTCTGAAATTTTGATACTGCTTGGAGGAAGGTACCATGTGACCATTCTCCAATTAAAAATCTAGGATGCTGAGTTTCTAATGAGCCTCCCTGGTAGACAACACTTCACACATCTCATCAAACTCATTGCTAGAGGAATTAATCTCACTGTGTGACTCCACCGAGGGAGACTCTTAGAAGCTAGTTCCTGGTTTCCTGCAGATATTACCTTATGTGCCGTATTATTTGCTGATTTTATGTTGTATCCATTTGCTGTAATAAATATTGGCTGTGAATACACTATATGCTAAGTCCTCTGAATTCTTCTAGTAAATCGCCAAACATGGGCATGTTCTTGAGGACCTCTGATACACAAGGTTGACTGAAATATCTACATGAAGATATATTGATTCTAAATAAAAATATGTATTGAATATATGTGAATGGAATTATGTTAAGTAAAACCAAGGCAAGTAGCATAGACTTCTTTTAAGAGATTCACAGTATAGTGGCTATCTCTGCATACAGAAGTATATAAAAAGAATATTCAATTAACAGAGTCAAAGCAGAATAAGGAATATACAAAAAACTTATTTCTATGGGAGTTTTGAAGATATAGACACCTCATCTTGTTTCAATTGCCAGGAAAGCTGAAAACCTGTTAAGTTAGCCTTAAAGGAACAAGTAGGTTTTGACAGGTTATGATATCTAGAGACAGGAGAAAAGGGGAATTTTGGAAGGTTTCCCTTACAGAGTTTCTCTTGAAACTTTGCAAATGAGTATGAGGTATTATGAAAAAGTGAAATATAGAACCTATTGAGGAAATAAAAAATAATAATCGTTACTTAGGACACAAAGTGTACATTTCAAATCTCTTGGTACAAATCCTAATAATTTGAATGATCTATAGAACTCATTTCCATGCAACATTCATGGATTATTATAGAAGGACCATCAAAATTCCATAGTGTTTTAAAAGTATTCCTCTTAAACTCAGGCACAGAACTGATTTATGTTCTATTGGTTTCTAATTATGCTTTTTCTTTTCTAGCTCTCCTTTGTTCAGGTCCATCATGAGTGAGAAATGGGACTCAAACTCTTCAGAAAACTGGCATTATATTTGGAGTGTCAATGGCACAAAATATCACCTATACTCAGATATCAATATTACCTATGTGAACTACTATCTTCACCAGCCTCAAGTAGCAGCAATCTTCATCACTTCCTACTTCCTCATCTTCTTCCTGTGCATGGTGGGAAATACCGTGGTTTGCTTTACTGTAATGAGGAACAAGCATATGCACACAGTCACTAATCTCTTTATCTTGAACCTGGCAATAAGTGATTTACTGGTTGGCATATTTTGTATGCCTATCACGCTCCTGGACAACATCATAGCAGGTATGTTGACATGTGTGCTGTACAAGGATGATATGTTTGTCCCACATTCCTGTACCCATGGCAGGGTCATCCATTCATCTGCAAATATTTATGGAGTTCCAAGAACTTCTCCAGGTACCTGCCCTCATAGGGCCTACATTCTAAAGGAGGAGAAAGACAATAGACAGATGGAGGATAAGTAGTCAAAGAACGGTAGGAATTATGGATAAAAATAAAGCAAGTGACAGAGATGAAGAGTGGAAACTCATTTTTATAGAGTTCACTGAAGGTCATCAGAGAATGAGATCTAACGTTTTTTTACTGATGACTTTAAATTTGCTTAATACAGTTCAGGGCACATAGAATGTAGTAAAAATATTGGGAATATTCTACACTGTAGAGTTCAAGGAACTGGTAAAGTCTGGTTTCAAATGATATAACGTCTTCAGTCTAACATGTTGGGTCCCTCTTGTGGTTAGCTAGGGAGATTTCCAATAGTTTTTGAGGGAAGCAGCAGTCCCGTGTACCACAAAAAGTGGTAGTTTAATCAGTGGCAATGTACATACGCAATATGAGTAACTTAACACTGCATCAGTTAGGGTGCTGCCCTGGAGTCCTTGTGGCCTGTCTTGCTACTTCTCTAGGGCTACTTCATACACTCTGGAAGTGCAGGGGCAGTGGATCTCCTGCTCCCAGAACAATTTTGGCACATGATACCTGCTTAATTGTTGTAGACTCCAACTCAAAAGTTCTCTTTGGCCAGCAAAAGAGCAGACTCAAGATTAAAACGAGAGATGGCTAATGTCCAGGAAAAGACAAGAGCCCCAATAAGGGTCCTTGTCCCATATTTATTCAAATCAGAAGGCTTGCAAACGTGATGGTCATATACAAAGAGACAAAGAAACTAGGAACATTAACTTGGGGACATGATGGGGAAAGGGGGATTTTGAAGATATACAATGTTTGGGGTTTGGGTCAATATAAAACAAAATCCAGGTGCCAGGCAGATGGGTAGATAGTTGTTAATGGCAGACAGGAGGCGTTGTGCCTGTTTATCTTTGCCAGCCTAGGGGATGAGACAGATGGGGCATAACCTCAGGGTTAACAAGGCCCCTTTTCTTTTGTTAATCATCTCCGCTCTGGGCTGCTTTGCCTGCAGTGCAGCAGTCCACAGTCCAATTCACCAATTTGCCTACACTGGCCCTCTTCTCCTATGAAAGCAGCTTTCTGCTATAGTACTAAATTTGGGGTGCTTTCATCATGAATATCTAATCTTGTTATTCCTATGTATTGGGCAACTTTGCGCCATTTCTATTTCAGGCCTTTGTCTCTATTTTGGGGGGCTCAGCACCCCCTCCCTATTTTGGGATGCCTTTGGACCTCCCTATTCCTGGCACCTTTATGCCTCCCTATTTTTGGAGTGTCTTTGCACCCCCCTATTCTTGGAGTGCCAATCTGGTGTACCCAAACTCAGGTGTGAGCATTTTATGGCTTTGTATTTCTTTATGCCTGGTTTACCCATTGGTGTAACCCTGGGGGATTCCTAAGCTTATCCCCCACACTTAATAAATATTTGTTGTATTAATGAGTGAGTGGTATTCATGAGAGATACTCATATTCCAAATATGTATAAGAAAAAATGATACAATAGGAACATATCAAAAATATTTAGAGTAGTGTGAGCCCTGTCATAGGTCCTACCCCTTCATTCAAGATCAGTGCACTGAAGAATAAGAGGTTTATCTTTAGAGATGACATCTGTTGCCTTCCTTTCTCTGCAGTGGGAGCAGGGAGAGTTTAAGAATGCCTCTTCTAGCATCTGTACTGCATAGATTCTGTGTTTTTTATGTACTTATTTTTAAAAATAGTTTATATTTTTAACAAAAAGCAATGTGCATTTAAGAAAAATTTTTTTAATGTTTATTTATTTTTGAGGGAGAGAAAGAGTGCAAGCAGGGGAGGAGAGAGAGAGGGAGATACAGAATCTGAAGCAGGCTTCAGGCTCCGAGTTGTCAGCACAGAGCCCGATGTGGGGCTCGAACTCACGAACCGTGAGATCATGACCTGAGCTGAAGTCAGATGCTTAACTGACTTAGCCACCTCAGGTGCCCCAAGGAATATACATTTTTAAGACACTGGGCTAGGCAAAAAGAATGCAAAACAGTTGATTTAAATTATTGATATGGCTCTCAAGAAACTTACTTTGCCAGTAAGAAATGTTCTCACTATCTCCCCCTATAAATATTTATAAAGAAATTATTATCTAAACTCTTCCTTAATGTTACCCTTCCTTATCCCTGATTCTCATTCGCAGGAAGCAGCCACATTCAACACCTTGCCTTTATTTTTGGTATTTATTCTCATGTTTCTAAATAACATATTTCCATTATAAAAGGTATTATCTTCACACTGTGGGAGATGTGATGTAGTTCTAATCTTCTACCACAAGAGGTATTTCCCTCAGCAGCCTCCACTGAAATGACATAGAGCAAAAGAACATAAATTCACAGAAACTGCCACATACTGCTGAATGTGAAGGTGGGAAAACAGGATTGGCTGGAATTGTGTACACATGCAATCTGATGCATTTATATAGACACACAAAATCACATTCACACTCTTTACCTCCTCTCATTTTCCCAACATTATTATAATTTTTAGTTGTCAGTATGCAGAATATATGTTCCTATTATTGTATCTTAGCTCTGCTGAGGCATGAATGTTAATACAAGAAAATTCCCCAGGATTAAGCACATGCTATTTTTGATTGAAAGGACTATGATATCAATATGAAAGACTGCTGTGATATCAATTTCTTTTTTCTTGGATTTAATGAGGGCATCGTATTTTTTTAATTAAAAAAATTATTTTTGTAACGTTTATTATTGAGAGACAAACATAGAGCATGGGCAGGGGAGGGGTAGAGAGAGGGGGAGACACAGAATCTGAAGCAGGCTCCAGGCTCTGAGCTGTCAGCACAGAGCCGGATGTGGGGCTTGAACTCAGGATCTGTGAGATCAGTGACCTGAACTGAAGTCAGTTGCCTAAACAACTGAGCCACCCAGGCACCCTAGGGGCATTGTATTTTGATTTGCTTAGTTGGGGGTATGTACCTGTAAGTAATATAACCTCAACCTCTCTTCTACAAGTGTTAATTTCTTGTTAATACCTTCAGACATGTCAGGTAACTTGTGAATTGCATCTTTTTTTTCTGGAGATACCCTGCTGGTGCTCTCTACCCTTTTGTTTCTATTCAGACATAACTGCTTTTTAGGCGTGGAGCTCAGCTGCTAGTGCTCTGGGAAGTCCCTTCACTGAGACCCTAAGGACTCTCTTTACTACTCTTTGTGTTCAATCCCCTGTTTTCCAGAGCCATGTCTTCTTTCTTGGTTTATTTCTCTGTTAGTTTCCTGAGAAAGTGTGCATTAAGATTAAAAAAAGAAAAACCAGGGGCACCTGGGTGGCTCAGTCGGTTAAGCGTCTGACTTCGGCTCAGGTCATGATCTCAAGGTCTGCTGTGCTGACAGCTCAGAGCCTGGAGCCTGCTTCGGATTCTGTGTCTCCCACTCCCTCTGACCCTCCCCCGTTCATGCTCTGTCTCAAAAATAAATAAACGTTAATTTTTTTTTTAAAGAAAAAAACATGTGAGATCTTGTTTGTCTGCAGTTATCTTTATTCTGCTCTCATACCTGATTATGGTTAGCTGTATGAAGTATTTAAGACTGGACATTTTTTCCCCCTCAGAATTTTAACAGAGTTGTCCATTGTTACTGCTGGGAAACCTGATATTACTGTTGAAAAATCTAATGATGTTCTTCTTTTATCATCATTTGCATTTTGAAAACTTGGGGCTTGTCTTCATCCTCAGTGTTCTGAATTTCAGGCAATTATGCCTTCCATAGGTCTTTTTATTTTTCATGTGTTGGACACAAACCAGGTTCTTTCAATCAGAAACAGAATGCTCCTTAATCCTGGGGAATTTCTTGCATAATTCTCTTCCATTTTACTTTTTTCAATTCATATTAGTCAGATATTAGAGGTTCTGGGTTGCCTTTTGTTTCTTCATCTTTCTTGTTTCTGTTCCTTATTGTTCTTTTTTCAAAGATTTTCTTAGTTTTCTCTCCCAGACACTATATTGAATTCCACATTTCTGCTCTCATGTTTTAAATTCTTTGACCTATTTTCTGCATGTTTCCTATACTATCGTGTACATTTCATCAATAAAATGTGTTATATCTCTGAGGTTTATTTTTATGCTTTTATTTTAATTCCAGTTAACAGGGTTATATTAGTTTCAGCTGTACTGGTGATTCAAATGGTGATTCAAAAATTCCATACATCACCCAGTGCTCATGATAGTACATGCACTCCTTAATCCCCATCACCTATTTCACCCATCCTCCCACCCACCTCCTCTCTGGTAACCATCAGTTTGTTCTGTATAGTTAAGAGTCTGTTTCTTGGTTTATCTTTTTTCCTATGCTAGTTTGTTTTGTTCCTTAAATTCTACATATGAGTGAAATCATATTGTATTTCTTTCTCTAACGGGCTTACTTCACTTAGCATTTTAATCCCTAGGTCCACCCATGTAATTGCAAATGGCAAGATTTCAGTCTTTTTTGCAGCTGAATAATATTCCATTGCACATGCATGTACGTGTGTGTGTGTGACACATCTTCTTTTCTATTCATCAATCAATGGATACTTGGGCTGCTACATATCTTGGGTATTGTAGATAATGCTGCTATGAACATAGGGGTGCAAGTACCCCTTTGAATTAGTATTTTTTTATTCTTTGGGTAAATAGTAGTGAGATTGCTGGATCTTAAAGTAGTTCTATTTTTAGCTTTTTGAGGAACCTCTTTACAGTTTTCCAGCACTCTGGAAAACAGTTTGCATTCCCACCAACAGTGCAAGAAGATTCTTCTTTCTCCACATCCTCGCCAATACTTGTTTCTTGTGTTGTTGATTTTAGCCATTCTGACTGACGTGAGGTGATATTTCACTGTACTTTTGATTCGCATTTCCCTGATGATGAGTGATGTTAATCAGCATCTTTTCATGTCTGTTGGCCATCTGTATGTCTTCCTTGGACAAATGTCTGTTCATGTCATCTGCCCATTTTTTAATGGGGTTGTGTTCTGGGTATTGAGTTGTAGAAGTTATTTATATATTTAAAATACTAACACTTAATTGGATATGTCATTTGCAAATATCTTTTCCTATTCAGTAAGTTGTCTTTTAGTTTTGTTGATTGTTTCCTTTGCTGTGCAGTAGCTTTTTATTTTGATGAAGTCCCTATAGTTTATTTTTGTTTCTGTTTCCCTTGTCTCAGGAGACCTATCTAGAAAGAAGTTGCTATGGCTGATCTCAGAGAAGTTACTGCTTATGTTCTCATCTAGGATTTTTGTGGTTTCAGGTCTCAAATTTAGATCTTTAATCCATTTTGAGTTTATTTTTGTGTATGGTATAAGAAACTGGTCTAGTTTTTCCAGGTTTCTTGAAGAGACTGTCTTTTTTTCCATTGGATATTATTTCCTACTTTGTTGAAGATTAGTTGACCATATAATTGTGGGTTTATTTCTGAGTTTTCTATTTTGTTTCAGTGATCTATGTTTCTGTTTTTGTGCCAGTTTAATACTGTTTTGATTACTACAGGTTTGTAATATAACTTGAAGTCTGCACTCGTGATATCTCCAGCTTTGCTTTTCTTTTTCAAGTTTGCTTTGGTTATTTGCGGTCTTTTTGTGGTTCCATACATATATTAGGATTGTTTGTTCTAGTTCTGTGAAAAATGCTATTGGCATTTTGATAGGAATCACATTAAATGTGTAGGTTGCTTTGGTAGTACAGACATTTTCACAATATTTGTTCTTCCAGTCCATAAGCATGGAATGTCTTTCCCTTTCTTTGTGTTATCTTCTATTTCTTTCATCAGTGTTTTATACTTTTCAGAGTATAGGTATGTTACCTCTTTGGTTAGTTTTCTTCCTAGGTATCTTATTATTTTTGGTGCAGTTGTGAATGGGATTGCTTTCTTAATTTCTCTTTCTGCTGCTTCATTATCAGTGTATAGAAATGCAACAGATATCTATACATCGATTTTGTATTCTGCAAATCTTTTATCAGTCCTAGCAGCCTTTTGGCAGTCTTTCAGATTTTCAGTGTAGAGTATCATGTCATCTGCATAGTGAAAGTTTGACTTCTTCCTTACTGATTTGGATGCGTTTTATTTTTCTTGTCTGCCTGTCATGGGTAGGACTTATAGTACTATGTTGAATAAAAGTGAAAGGGAACATCCTTTTCTTGTTCCTGATCTTTGGGGAAAAGCTCTCAGTTTTTCATCATTAAGGATGAAGTTAGCTGTGGGTTTTTCATATATGTCCTTTTTATGTTGAGGTATGTTCCCTCTAAACCTACTTGTTGAGAGTTTTTATCATGAATGGATATTGAATGCTGTCAAATGCTTTCTGTGTCTACTGAAATGATCATATTATCCTTATTCTTTATTTTACTGATGTAATGTATTATGTTGATTGATTAGCAAATACCGAACCACCCTTGCAACCCAGGAATAAATCCCACTTGATCACTGTGAATGATTTTTTTTAATGATTGTTGGATTCAGTTTGGTGTATTTCGTTGAGGACTTTTGCATCTATGTTCATTAGAGATATTGGCCTGTGGTGCTCTTTTTTTGGTATCTTTATCTGGTTTTAGTATCAGAGTAATGCTGGCCTCATAGAATGAATTTGGAAGTTTTCCTTTTTCTATTTTTTGGAATAGTTTGAGAAGAATAGGTATTAACACTTCTTTAGATGTTTGGTAGAATTCACCTTGAAGCCATCTGTTCCTGGGCTTTTGTTGAGAATTTTGTGATTACTGATTCAGTTTCCTTGCTGGTAATTGACCTGCTCAAGTTTTCTATTTCTTCCTGTTTCAGTTTTCGTAGGTTATATGCTTCTGAGAATTTATCCATTTCTTCTAGGTTGTCAAAATTGTTGGCAAATAGTTTTTCATAATAATTATAATTGTATTTCTGTGGTGTTGGTTTCTCCTTTCTCATTTGTAATTTTGTGGCCTTTTTCCTTTTTTCTTATAAGTCTGGCTAAAGGTTTGAAGTAATTTTTTTTTTATATTTTTCATCTACTTGATTTTTTTTTCTTAAGTTTCTTTTTTCCTATTTTAGCCACTTTTATATTCGAGGCTTCCCATCTGTCAATTGCTGCTTAGCTGCTTGTGTTTCAGACTGAGACATGGTGCGGCTTCCTTGGACCTCTGCATGCCTTAGGTTTGAGGTTAGGCCCACTCTTAGCCTCATTAATCTGTCCCATTCGCTGCGAAATCCACAACTGTCAAAAATTGCACATCAGGGGGCGCCTGGGTGGCTCAGTCTGTTGAGTGTCTGACTTCAGCTCGGGTCACGATCTCGCGGTCCGTGAGTTCGAGCCCCGCGTCAGGCTCTGGGCTGATTCCAGTTCTGTGTCTCCCTCTCTCTCTGCCCCTCCCCCGTTCATGATCTGTCTCTCTCTGTCTCAAAAATAAATGTTAAAAAAAAAAATTAAAAATTGCACATCAGTGTTCTTGGAAGGATCACATTCCCCAGAAGGCAATTCTCTGACCTATTGCCATGGGAGTCGCAAGACTGGCTGCTCTGTTCCAGAGCCTAGTGGGTCTCTGGGCAGCAGGACCGCATGCAGAGCATATATTTTCACTTCATCATTGTGCGTCATTGTGGTACCTGTGGTACCCACCACACTTGCACCTGCTGACTCGGAGTCTAGAGCCCCTCTGCTTTTACTTCCTCAGAGAGTAACCTCCATTCTTCTGCTAGCAGGGGAAGAACAAGTGGCATCTGGTTGTATTTATTCATAATTCAGCCAGTTGTGTCATTTTCCCAGCTTTATTTTCTTTCTGCGTATTTGAGTTCTTTGTTCTTTGGTTCTTTCATTTCAGTGGAATTTAGTGAGGGAGATGAGATAAATCATATGTTCCATTTTTGACCAAAGTCTATTGACACTCCTTTTTGCCTTTTTAATACTGTAAACAGCCAAACATATTTTAGGACTAGGAAAATGTGTTCACTTTTGGTTTCTATTCAGGGGAGTCATTCAAGCATCTATTTTAACATGAGCTGGATAGATGCCAAAATGGTTTTTCTGGTAGACTTGGATCATTTAGATTATTGGGAATATTTTAAATTAGGTACAAATATTTTTAAAAAATAAATTACAGATCTGTTTAAAAGAAAATGAATGTTATTTTTTTTCTCAGATTTTTAAAATTTATCTTTTGGGAAACAAGAATATTTGCTAGTGGAAGAATATGATTACTTTCTTATAATAGCAGGGGTGTTTATATCAACCTGTTATAATTTTACTAATTTCTTTTATAAACATTCCAGTAAATGAAGTTTACTTAGAAAGTAATTCAAATGGACTATTTTTGTTTATGCAAAGTGCTCTTTATTCTTGAAATACGTTTTAGTCAGCTCAGGCTACCATAACAAAATACTATAGACTAGGTGGCTTAAGCAAAAGACATTTATTTTCTTTCTATTCCAGAGGCTAGACGTCTGAGATCAGGGTGCTGGCATGGTCAGCTTGTTGGTGAGGGTCCTTTTTTTGGTTTGTAGACAGCTACCTTCTTGCTTTGTGCTCACATGGCCTTTCTTCTGTGCATGCTCCTAGAGAAGAAAGCTTTTTTTTTTTTTCTCCCTCTTCTTCTAACGGCACTAATTCCATCATGTGGGCGCCACCTTGTGGCATCATCTAAATAAAATTACTTTCCAGAGGCCCCACTTCCAAACACATTGAAACTTAAGGCTAGAATATATGAATTTGATGGGAGGGCGGGTAGAGCACAAACACTCTATAACAAAGTACCTCTGAGGTAAATTGTCTCATTACATTATATATGAATAAATATTAATTTTATTTATTCTGCATGTGACTCCTGTTCCCCATGATTTATGGGGTACATACATTTCAAAATTATAAAACCAATATTCTTCCTGTCTTACTCATTTAAAGGGCATTATTCCATAAGGGTTAATGGTTTAGGCTCTGGAACCATACAAGTGGGATTGAAATCCTAAGTATGTTGCTAACTAGCTGTGGCAAGGTATGTGATATATGTGTGTTTATTAGCTAGTCTATATCATGAGGAAGAGAATAAAGCCTTCGAAAGTCTATTTGGGGGATTAAATAGGTACAAAACACTTACCACAGTGCCTAGAATGTCGTAACTACCATAGGAGTTCTGACATTAATAGCACTATACTAAAAACAGAGCTCTGGAGATATTAATGAAAATAATGGGAAACATTGTTTTCTGGATATCATTTAGGAAATAGTTGCATCAGTCTTGATTTCATGCTTTTCTGTTCATATTTTTTGTGAAATTAAAAAAAAAGTATGATCTTTTCAAAGACTGTTTCAATTTCCCTTTCAGGATGGCCCTTTGGAAGCACAATGTGCAAGATCAGCGGATTCATTCAGGGAATATCAGTTGCAGCATCCGTCTTTACTTTAGTTGCGATAGCTGTGGATAGGTAAGTCAGCACCAAAATATGGGTCCAGAGAAAAATTTATTATCTACCAAATTTGGTTATATTTGCCCCAAACTATATCCATAATATCTATCCTTTAAAAGCAAGGTGTATCTATCTACTAAAGGTTCAGTAATAAAACTACTGAAATTTTCATATTTTAGAATTAAATAATTAGGGATGATACATGTCTTAGTTTGGGCTGCTCTAACAAGATTCCATAGACTTTGTGGCTGAAGCAACAAAAACTGTTTCTCAGTTCTGGAGGTGGGACGGTCCAAGGTAAGGATGCCAGTATCTTCTGTGTTTAGTGAGAGACCTTTTCTTGGTTTGCAGAAGGCTATCTTCTCCTTGGAGAGCACAAACTCTAGTCTCTTCCTGTTCTTATAAAAGGTCATTAATCCTATCATGAGGAACCTACCCTCTTGATCTCATCTACCTAGTTACTTCCTAAAGGTCATGGCTCCTAATATCATACAACCAAGGTTTAGGGTTTCAACCCTATTCAAAGTATGAATTTCTGGGGGACACAAACCTGAAGTTCATAACAGCATAGTTTATATATTTTTCACACTAGAATATTGTATTTTCTAATGGTGAAAATGTGAAATAAATCTGATATTTTATCCAAATGTTAAGGTAAAATTTAATAATCCATTTACACATATTGTTGAGTGTGCCTGTAATAGGCTGGGTTGTATACCATCTCAAACAAATTAGACAAAGTCCCTCCTAAAGAAGTCCACACTCTGGTAGAGGTAGACAAGACACATTAATGAATACTACTCTCTTACATAACAATGGTATAAAGGAGAGAGTGATCAAGTTACTTCTCAGGACAGGGAGTGTTGCATTCACAGAAAAGGTCATATCTGTCTAAATCTTGAGGGGTCAGAAATTCACCTTGGAAAGAAACCGAGGAAAGAGCATCTCTTAAAACAGAGATATACATACGGCAATTGAAATAGGAGGATACTTGTCAAGAGAAGTACAGAGAGACAGTCCAGCTAGAACATGGGAGGGTGGAATAGCACATTAGGTCACAGAAAGTCTATGATAGACCTGGGGCACCTGGGTGCTCAGTCAGTTGAGCCTCTGACTCATTTCAGGTCAGCTTACAATCCCAGGGTCTTGGGATAGAGCCCTGCATCAGGCTCTGCCCTGAGTGTGGAGCCTGCTTGAGCTTCTTTCTTTGTAAAACAAAACAAAACACATGTCTGTGGATCTGTCTTCCATTTGTCCTGAAGACAGCAGGGAGCTGCTACTAACATCTTTTATGTAGGGGAATAATGACTAGATTTTCATTTTAGAAAAAACAAGTAGAAAGGGTTTAGAGTTGTGTTAAGACTAAAGAAAAGAAAAAGAGTTAAATTTTTGTAACAACTTAGATGGGAGAGGATGTGTGCATGTGTTAAGGCAGTGGCAATTAAGGGATACTTGAGAAGGAAACTGAACAATGTCCTGAAAGATGTCTCCCCAGCCAAGGAAAAGGACCAAAAAGGAACCAACCAGTCAGCAACACATACATGTAGATGAGAGAGTGTTTAAAAAATACAATAGAATTGTTGACATTAAAAAAAGCAAAACAACTAGTAGATCCTATTTTCAACATTAATCTGTTTTTAAGAACCCATCTTATACATCCAGTTTTTTTGGTTTACATGTAAGAAGAATAAAATTTATATATATATATATATATATATATATATATATATATATATATGCATGCTAGCCACCAAATGCCAAAGATACCTTTTTACATTAAAATTTGGCAGCTAATCATTTCCAAATTTACCATATCCTGTTACTACTATTATTTTCTACTACTAACTAGTGCTACTACTAAATTATTTAGTTGTGAATATTTGTAGTACTATATCTTAATTTTACAATTATTTATGTCATCTTTACAGTGAATTAAAAAACTGTAATATCCTTTGTATTTTCTACTTGAATCTTGAGTTTATCAGGTTTATTTCATTACATTTAGTATTAAGTATCCCTTAATTTCTTTTTCACGGTTTCTAGTATGCCTCCTAATTAGAGATTTAGAAATAAACATTGCTGTTCATTTTTTAAAAATGTTTATTTTTGAGAGAGAAGACTGCGTGTATGTGCACGCACACAAGTGGGAGAGGGGAGAGAGAGAGGATTTGAAGCAGGTTCTGCACTGATAGCAGAGAGCAGAATGCAGGGCTTGAACGCACAAACCTTGAGAACATGACCTGAGCTCAAGTTGGATGCTTAACCAACTGAGCCATCCAGGTGCCCCGATAGGAGGGATACATGGCAATGTCAAGATTCCTGAGTAAAATGGAAAAGGATTGAGTAGACCTACCAAGAGAATTTCAGCAGTGTCTGGCATGTTTTATGTCTTTTAAAAAGTGATGAAAATATGGTCACCTGTGACATACCCTTTGCTATCTGCCTTCCAATCCATATATCATTTCTTTGTGGTTTCAGTTATTTTTTGTAATACAACAAGTCACCTCCCAAAACAAGCCACTTATTTAGTGGCTCATCATGCTCATGAATCTGTGATGTGGGCAGATTCGCTGATTAGGGAGATATACCTTGTCTCTGCTCCACTTGGCATCAGGGAGGGGAGCTCCATAAAACCCCACTCTGATGGTGGTGCCCAGATTGGGAGGACTTAAACAGCTAGGAGACAGAACTGAGTCTTTTCAGGCACTTTATTCCTACTGGTTTTTCTCCACATGGGCTCTATAGCATGACAGCTTCAAGGTAGCTGACCTTCTTACATGTAGTCTAAGGCATGTGTGTCCTAAGTGCCAGTGAAAGTCACGTAGTGTCACTGCTGCATCCTATTCATTAGAAGTAAGTCACTAGGGGTGCCTGGGTGGCTCAGTCGGTTGAGTGTCTGACTTCGGCTCAGGTCATGATCTCACAGTTCGTGGGTTCGAGCCCCACATCAGGCTCTGTGCTGACGGCTTGCTCAGAGCCTAGAGCCTGCTTCAGATTCTGTGTCTCCTTCTCTCTCTGCCCCTCCCCTGCTCACGCTTTGTCTCACTCTTTCTCAAAAATAAATAAGTGTAAAAAGAAGTGAGTCACTAAAACCAGCTCATATTCATGGAGAAGGGAATTGAATTTGGAAGACATGTTTTCAAACCATCACACACCTTCATGTCCATCTGAACTACCTGCATCTGAATGCCTTTCTCAGGGTCAGCTCTTAGAGGAAGCCAAACTAAAAAATCTCCCAAACCTATTTCTCCAGACTAAGTCTTTCTCCTAAATTTCATACTTCTATTCAAAATCCCTCCTGGATAACTTCACCTGCATATCCAACAACAAGCACTTCAAAATAGATCCAGAATTGAACTTGTCTTCTCTACCAGTCCCCCACAAAATAAGTAAACAAAGTTAGCTCCTTTTCTCATTTTCCCAAATCAGTGAATGATAGTATCACACATCCAATCTGTTCTTGAACTTTCCTTCTCTCTCCAACTTCTATCTAGTCACTCTTTTTTTTTTTTTAATTTTTTTTTCAACATTTTATTTATTTTTTGGGACAGAGAGAGACAGAGCATGAACGGGGGAGGGGCAGAGAGAGAGGGAGACACAGAATCGGAAACAGGCTCCAGGCTCTGAGCCATCAGCCCAGAGCCCAACGCGGGGCTCTAACTCACTGACCGCGAGATCGTGACCTGGCTGAAGTCGGACGCTTAACCGACTGCGCCACCCAGGCGCCCCTATCTAGTCACTCTTTAAATCCCATAAGTTCTTCACCAAACTCCACACCCAAGAAACAAATAATCCAGTGAAGAAATGGGCAGAAGACATGAATAGACACTTCTCTAAAGAAGACATCCAATTGGCCAACAGGCACATGAAAAGATGCTCAACGTTGCTCCTCATCAGGGAAATACAAATCAAAACCACACTCAGATACCACCTCACGCCAGTCAGAGTGGCTAAAATGAACAAATCAGGAGACTATAGATGTTGGCGAGGATGTGGAGAAACGGGAACCCTCTTGCACCCTCTTGTTAGTGGAAATACAAACTGGTGCAGCCACTCTGGAAAACAGTGTGGAGTTTCCTCAAAATATTAAAAATAGACCTACTCTATGACCCAGCAATAGCCTTGCTAGGAATTTACCCAAGGGATACAGGAGTGCTGATGCATAGGGGCACTTGTACCCCAATGTTTATAGCAGCACTTTCAACAATAGCCAAATTATGGAAAGAGCCTAAATGTCCATCAACTGATGAATGGATAAAGAAATTGTGGTTTATATACACAATGGAATACTATTTGGCAATGAGAAAGAATGAAATCTGGCCATTTGTGGCAATGTGGATGGAACTGGAGGGTATTATGCTAAGTGAAATAAGTCATAGAGAGAAAGATAGATATCATATGTTTTCACTCATGTGGATCCTGAGAAACTTAACAGAAGAACATGAGGAGGGGAAGGAATAAAAAAAGGTTAGAGAGGGAGCCAAAACATAAGAGACTTTTAAAAGCTGAGAACAAACTGAGGGTTGGTGATGGGTATTGAGGGTACCTGTTGGGATGAGCACTGGGTGTTGTATAGAAACCAATTTGACAATAAATTTCATATTAAAAAAAAAATCCCATCAGTTCTGGGTGCTAACGGTCTTGAACAAGTCTACTATCTTCCATTGCTTGAGATAGAATACTGAGATTTTTTTTCCTAAGTGGTTGTAGTGATAAATTTTATGTGTGACCTTGACTGTTCCATGTGGTACCCAGATATTTGGTCAGACATTATTCTGGGTGTGTCTATGAGGGTACTTTTGATGAGATTAACATTTGAATCAATAGGTTGAGTAAAAGATTGCCCTCCCTACTATTGTTGGCCCTTATTCAATCAGTTGAAGGCCTGTATAGAACAAAGAAGCAAAAAGGCTGACCTTCCTGCAATTAAATTCCTGACTTTTATTGCTGAGACATCAGTCTTTTTCTGTCTTCAGACTTGAACTGCAACATTAGCTCTTCTGGTGGTGTGAGCCTGATAGCTTTTGGAACTTATATCGGTGGCTATCCTGTTCTCAAGCCCTTAGATGTGAACTGGACTATACCATGGGCTCTCCTGGTCCCCATTTTGCCAGCTGCAGATCTTGGGACTTCTTCTCAAATTGCATGAGCCAATCCTTTAAATATCTTTCTGTATATTTATGCATACTGTTGACTCTGTTTCTCTAGAGAAGCCTGAGTAACTTGCCAAATCTAAACTCCAGCATGATTTTAGCATAATTGCGCAATATTTTCTTTGGCCATTTTCTGACAGCATTTCTTTTTTGTTCATATACATATATGTGTGTGTGTGTGTGTATAGATACACACACACACACATATATATATGAATATATTGTATGTATATTTGTTGAATGAATGCAAAAGTATTTGAAGACCCAATAGTTGGTTTGCTAAAAAAGAACAAAATACCTAGAATTGTGCCTATAAAGTTACCTATAATTTAAAGGTAGGTAGATGGGAGGAAAGGGGGTGCCTGGGTGGTTCAGTTGGTTAAGTGTCTGACTTCAGTTCTGATCATGATCTCGCATGATCTCACGAGCCCCACATCAGGCTGTGTACTGACAGCCTGGAGCCTGCTTCCAATTCGGTCTCCCTCTCTCTGTGCCCCTCCCCTACTTGTGCTCTTTCTCTCTCTCAAATAAATATAAATAAACAATTAAAAAAAACACTAGAAGAAAACTTGTTTAAGATAGCAGACATTACCCATGCAATGAAGGACAATAGGGCAATTAAAGTTCAAATTAATTAGTATATGAAGATATGTTAGATAAAGCTTTTAAGTGGCTCAGCAGCAACTCCATGTTAATTTAAGTTTTCTTATCTGCTGATCTGGAAAGTAATAGTTTTCATAACATTTCCTTTTTATAGAGTCATCACAAAAATCAGAGATTAAGTAGGTGATAATACTTTGAAAAATATAAAATATTACACAGTTGTATACGGTATGATTATAATGAGCATGAATAATAACATCAAGACTCACAAAAGCAAAATTGCAGTAAAATGAAATCAGCATTATTCTACATACTGACATTGAACTTTCATGCTCACCAGAGGGCATAGAACGTCTAGAAAGCAAGTAATCAGAACTCATAATGGAAATTCTCAGACTCTTATAGTTGTGAACCAAGCCACCAAAACACTTTAGTGACTTGAAACAAGAATGCTTAAACATTTCTCATGATGCTGTGGTTTGGTTGGGTGCCTCTGTGTCATTTCTGTCATCTTGCTAATAATGTTCAGTTGGCCAAGCACACAGATAATGTGGGAGGGGAGCACAGAGGTCATGAAAGGAGAGTTTAACAATATGGTCTCTGAAGCCAAACTATCTGTTTTAAATCACGTGTAGTTGTGGGCAAGAGTTTTTACGTTTTCTAAGCCTATTGTGCCAGTAAATGGGGAAAGCTTAAAGACCATCAATGCAAACCAATGAAAAAGAGCCTAAAACAAAATACTAACTATTCATGTTCAATATATGCTAGTTACCGCTATCACTTTCATAGTCTGAGTTGAAATTTATATCAGTTACAAAAGACATCAATGCATGCCTCTCTACTGCTAATGGTAACTTTATGCTTTTTGAGGGGAATGTGAGTGGGAGAATTAAATTCAATTCACAACTTGGTCAAAAGTTACAAGGCAGTGTCCCACTGCTATTTGCCTTTAATTGCAGGTTCCGCTGTGTTGTCTATCCTTTTAAGCCAAAGCTCACTATCAAGACAGCATCTGTCATTATTGTGATCATCTGGGTCTTGGCCATTGCCATTATGTCCCCATCTGCAATAATGTTACATGTACAAGAAGAAAAATATTACCAAGTGAGACTCAACTCCCAGAATAAAACCAGTCCAGTCTACTGGTGCCGGGAAGACTGGCCAAATCAGGAAATGAGGAAGATCTACACCACTGTGCTGTTCGCCAACATCTACCTGGCTCCCCTGTCCCTCATTGTCATCATGTATGGAAGGATTGGAATTTCACTCTTCAAGATGACAGTGCCCCACACAGGCAAACAGAACCAGGAGCAGTGGCATGTGGTGTCCAAGAAGAAACAGAAGGTCATTAAGATGCTCCTGATTGTGGCTCTGCTTTTTATTCTCTCCTGGCTGCCTCTGTGGACACTGATGATGCTCTCAGACTATGCTGACCTGTCTCCAAATGAACTGCAGGTTATCAACATCTACATCTACCCGTTTGCACATTGGCTGGCCTTTTGCAATAGCAGCGTCAACCCCATCATTTATGGTTTCTTCAATGAGAATTTTCACCGTGCATTCCAAGATGCTTTTCACTTCCAGCTCTGCCAAAAAAGAGCAAAGCCCAAGGAAACCTATACCGTAAGAGCTAAAAACAATGTGATCATAAGTACATCTCATCAGTTAGCCCCAGGACCTGCAATTCAAAATTCACATGAGGAAAATTTGCTTTGTAGGAAAAGTGCTGAAAAACCCAACCAAGAATTAATGATGGAAGAATTAGGGGGAGTCACCCAGAGCAATGAGATTTTAAAAGAGCTGGTATGATTATTTTATATACAGTGTGTTATATATAGAAATACTATTGCTTTCTATAGCTTTGTACTTGAATTCTACGAATGTTCTAAAGAAAATATGTACTGAAAGCCCTCTTTGAACAGAAGTGGAATAGTCTTATGTTCATATCCAATCTTATGGTGTATAAAATATGTAGAGACTCACATACAAATTTGCCTGGATAAATCCATTTTCTAGGAACAGTTTTCAAAGCCTGACCTTTTCCAATTTAGCCAGTTGGGTAGGAGTCAAACATATGTATTATGTGTATACAAATATATACAACACACACACTTATTTTCTCCAAATGGCGATAAATGGGCAGTTATTTGCATGAGAGTACATTTTGTCAATTCTCTGCTTTTGGAGTTGAAATTTTAGACTACAAAATTATTTGTGCTTTTAAAATATACTTAGCTTTCTTAGAAGAACTGCAATAGCAAATAGACACTATTTCTTTGCGTTTAAGGTTGATTTTTCTTTGAAAGAGTACAGTTAAAGTTGGTGAAATCATAACACTGTTGGCTTTTTAATATTTTCATAAAATTCATGCCGTAGCTGAACCCATATTTCTTAGAGGTGACTTGGGATGCCAGTTTGACCCCCTCTCTAATAGAATCTCTGACAAAGAAGAAAATCCTTTTTTTAAAATATTTATTTTTTGAGAGAGAGAGAATATGAGCAGTGGAGGGGCAGAGAAAGAGGGAAACACAGAATCTGAAGCAGACTCTTACCTGTCAGTACAGAGCCTGATGCGGGGCTCGAAGACACAGACCATGAGATCATGACCTGAGCTGAAGTCAGACGCTCAACTGAGTGAGCCACCCAGGTACCCCAAGAAGCAAATCCTTTAGTAATGCAACATTTGGCCAACATTGGAGAATGACCACTCTCCTTTGAAGGGCTGAGTCAAAGATGTGTGACAATCATTAGTAAAATCTGTTCAGAAAACGACCAATTATTCCAGATTTCCTGCTGGGTACAACAATTAAATCCAGCACTCTTACTGAATTAGTAAACTAATACCACTGCTAAAAAGAGAATTGCAAACCCTTGGGTTCTGCTATGTTTCAATTATGTAATGGCAATAGCTGTAAATGTTAGCTTTTATTCTAGGGTGAGGTTAGTCCCTAGAAAATTTGAAAATAATAAATAATTTGGCAAATAAAAATTGCTTGGTTCAGGCCAAGAGTGATGAAAAGTGTTATTTCCTACAATCAGGAAGGACAACTTTTGAAGTCTAGGTATAGAATTTGATCTATTCCTTTGCCCCCAGTTACCGAAGTACTATTTACAGTAAATGTTGAAGGTTATTTTGTTGGACTCCTACTTTCTAATGGGCATCCTCACATTCCGTCAGCACCTGAAACTCATCATCACTAAACCCCACACCCTTACTTGTCATCTACCTTCTATCAACTTCAACCCCCTTTCATATGTGTATTTCCACCAATAGTCTGTTTGTGACAATGTAGGTATTATCTAAAGTGATATATTTTCTCTACTGTGCTCATTTTCTTGAGTCCTCCCAAGCAGAGTTGTTAATATCCATATTCTTACTAACAGTCTGTTCAAGACAATCTAGGCCACAAGCCACAGAGCATTAAACTTAATGGAATTTGCCTGACTAGATTTCAGACTTTCTTGGGATTAGTGACTTCTTTTTTCCTTCCATTTTTCTCCCTTATTGAACAGAAATATCTACAACTGTTATTCCATGCTTGTACCACCATTGTGTTTTGGAAGCAGATAAACTGCTTCTTTAGTTTCAGTGGTCCACAGATGGACAGAAATGGTGTCGCTAAATTTGTGATAACGTGTTATGGCAAAAGTACAAAATACACTTCCTTTTCTTTTTCGTAGTTAATTCTTTGATGTTTGAAGTGTATTTTTTGTAAGAGAAAAATACAAGTTATTTATAGTATTTAAGCAGTTTTTCCATTCAATCATACCTCTGCCTGGCTTGAGCACTAGCTTCTTAAGGGATTCCAGTTTGAGAACGCCCTCCCTTCTGGGTGTGTTGCCCATGCTGCTCCCTGGCTTAGGGACCGTGCTATGGTGCATTACCTTAATGGGAGATAATGGCTTATGAATTACACCATGTACAGATGAAGCACATGTTCAATACAGCAAAACGAATAAGAAAAATTCAGCTTCGGTGAACTTATACAGAAAGTTGTACTCCAAAGACTATAAAAAGCTGTATGAATTTCAGTATAGATCTAAGTTTTGTGTTTTAGTTTTTGATTCCAATGTGGAACAAGGATCACCACAGTCAGTGAGTAAGACCAGCATGATACAAAGGCAGTATGTGTGGTAGTTAGAATGACAGATACTGGAGCAAGGCAGACAGGTTCAAATCAAGGATTCTCTGCTTGTTACCCAGTGCATGATTATGTCGAAGTTACTTAATCCCTCTGTACATTGGTGTCCTCATCTGTAAAATAGGGTAATAATGGTACCTGTTCATAATTTTGTCCTTAAATGAGTTATATTGAATAAAACATTTGAAACAGTGCTTAGCCTTCAAATACTCATGTGTGCAATTTGTTACATGTACTAAATAGGTGGAAAAAGCCACATTTCTTAATCCTGGATAAAAAACATAATCCCTGAGCACTTACTTGTGTGTCAGCTTTTACCTAAGTGTCACACAGTGATTGACTTACAGAGACTGACATAGATGTAGCATATGAATTCTAACTAAAGGGAAACTGGAAAAAAATAAATGTAAGTGAAAATCTCAAGTCTGGAGGAATGACAGTGGGCTAAAAATGGACAAGAACTATGCATCACTTCTCTGTACATTGCATATGTGCTTTCTTATGTATTTGCCTTCCTCTTTTAACTTTGGGCTTTTGAGGGCAAAGATGCAGCTTTTCAATCTTCATATCTCTAGAGCTCAGCATGTTGTCCTGTGTAGGTGAATAATAACTGATTTTGAGTAAATTGAATATCAGAACAAGTATTCTTATGAATTTGTTACTCTGCATTCTTCATTACGTCTAGGATAAAACATGATGATCTGTGAGTGTGAATTGTAATAAAATAAATAAAAAAATTTCCCCAATAAGAACTATTGTTTTTCAATGAAATATTTCTCATAAACAAACATTACTGAAGGATTCAAAAGGGTACTTTTGATTTTACTGTGAAATCCAAAGTATTATGATGGCTAAAATTTTAGATAAATAATTTTGCCAGGAATTATATCACTAGCTTTTCAATTAGTTATTTAATTACATTTTAAAAAATATATTTTCAGAAATTATGAGTCTGACTTCTGGGTGAAATGGTGAAGTAGGAGCATCCAAAGTTCACCACATGAGCACACCTAGATAACACCCACATCAGTGTGAATAACCCAGCAAACAACCCGAAGACTGGCAGAACAGACTCTCTATGGCTAACCGTTGAGAAGAGGCCACATTGAAAAAGGTAGGAAGGGTGGATACATGGTCAGAAACTAAACTGACTTGCAACACTGTCCACAGGCATGAGAAATGGTGAGGAGCAGACCTCGCATTAGCCACCCCAGGCACAGAAGACCTCCACTGGGAAGATGAATCCCCATAATACTTGGCTTTGAAACCAAAGGGGCTTAACTTTGAGAGTTGTTACAGTCAATGGGACTGAACAACTAGAACTTTAAAAATCAGCAGACTCCTCTCTCAGAAAGCTGGAGGGTGATAGGAAACTGAATCCCTGTCCTTAAAAAGACAGCATAAGAGCCCCACTGAGAGAGAGCATTGGAGCAGCAGTTTGAAAAACACTTGGGGTATATGGGAAGGAGATTTGTTTACTGATCTCAGAGTATGTGTCAGAGGGGCAGGGATCTTTAGGAGACTTCTCTAAGAACAAAAAAGCTGGTAGCTGCCATTTCCCTCTCTCACCCTCCCCAGCCTAGATACACAGACACCTGCAGGGACCAGTAGGACCTGAGAACTCTATACAATAGCTTGCAAAGAGCACACCTAGCTCCTGTGCTCTTTCACAGAACCCCCAACCCCAAATGGGCCTCAGCAAGAGTTCTCCAGAACAACAGTTCCTTCCCACAGCAGGCCAGCACAACACCTTGCTAACAGCACACAGCATTCTCCTGTAGACTCAACTCCTCCAACCCACCCTCAGCAAGAGTCAATCCAAAGTGATGCCACAAGGAAGACATTGTGCAAGCAGCACTGCAGGGACCAGCAGCACTCCAAAGTGACTCCTACCCGGGGTGGGGGGGTAAAAACCACATATACCCCTTTGGGACCCAGACATCTGTTCTGACTGCAGACCCTGCCAACCAACAAAAGCTTAGGGCACAGAACAGGGAGAGCACCCTGCAGATCAGTGCTGTGAGAAACCCTGATCTGACCCAACTCAAGCCCAAGGCAGTTCAGGTGGCCCACTAACATCACAGGGACCAAACCCTGCCCACAACAGAGAAAGAGAGCTTTTGTACACAACTGGACTGAAGACAAAGGTGGCTCAGTCTTAACACACATAGGAAACACCCATGAAGCACCAGGTTCTGGTGAACACGGGACGCTCCACTGCAGGGCACTATAGAACCTCTTCTTCATAAGGCCACTACAAGAGCAGGAGACATAGCTGACTTTACTAACACAGAGAAACACACATAGAGAGTTAGACAAAATGAGAGAAATATGTCTCAAATGAAATAAAAAAATCACAGCATGAGAACTAAATGAAATGGACATAGTATGCCTCATAAGGAAATAAAGCAATGGTCATAAAGATACTGGACTTGAAAAAAAGATTGGAGGATCTAGGTGAGACCCTCAGCGAAGAGAAAACATAAAGAAGAACCAACCAGAGATGAAGAACCCAATAAGTGACATTAAAAATACACAAGAGAGGAAAAAAATAGTAGACTGCAGGAAGCAGAAGAACAGATCAACCTGGAGAACAAAGTAATGGAAAGCAATCAAGCTGAACAGGAGAAAGAAAAAAGAAAAATGAAAATAAACTAAGGTAACTCAGCGATACCATCAAGCATAGTAACATTTTCATTACAGGATTACATTACAGGGATTGTAAGGAAAAGAAGAGAAAGGGGGACAGAAAATTTAAAGAAATAATAGCTGAAATGTCCCAAGTCTGCAAAAGGAAACAGAAATCCAGGTTGAGGAGGCAGAGAGAGTCCCCAGTAAAATCAATCCAAAAGGTCTACACCAAGACACACAGTAATTATAATAGCCAAAAGTAGTGATAAACGGAATTTTAAAAGCAGCAAAAGAAATAGTTCCATTTAAGGGTGTAATGCCCAAAGTTCCAAAACCTCCCACAAAAGTCCACCAGAGTCGTAAGTCAAAGCCAAGCGGCAAGGGTCTTTATTGCAGGTTCGAACCTGGTCCCCTGCGCACTCGTCGCTGATGACGCAAGAGGCCTCGATCAGGGTTGGTACAGCGTTTTTATAGACAGAGACAAATAGCACAGGGGAGGTTTCAAATTATGAGGGGCCTGATTGGTTGATTTTAAAGTAAGGACATTTGTTGTTCTCTGATTGGGCGTCCTTTGTCTGTCCTTTGGCGGGAAGGCTTTGTCTGTTACTTGTGGCGGGAGGAAAAAGGGGGAAGAGGGTAGGGTAGGTGAGGAATGTGCTAAGCAAGCAAGTTTACAGAAGCGAGAAATGCCGGTTAGTTTATGTACAATTACTCATTCCATTACCTATCAGACTACATTTAGGAAGGTTTACAACC